ACAGAAAATTAAATAAAATAAAAAAGGAGGTTGTAAAACTCCCTAGAGATGATGTGTACTGTTCTATATGTAAGATGAAAAGGCCATTCAGATAAAACGTGTAAGATTCATGTCAAGCGTAACTTTGTCTGAGCTCCGCACGAATTGTTCAGAAGTATTTCAAATCAGGGAAGTAGTGAGGAAAAATATTAAAAACACTTGCCAAATGGAAGAAAAAAAACAATTAAAAGAAAGCTAACACTTGTTTTTAGGGCAATGAAATTCTTCAGGACTTTGCTTCAAATTCCAACGTCAAGCTGAATCTCAAAACCTTACCGTATAACATGAATGAGTAAATTTCTCAAGAAATAATAAGCAGTGTAGGAATATAGTGTTACCTCACTTAGATTGTAACATACAATCAGCATCCTTTAGTGCTCAAACAAGATGTGTTATACGATATTGGAACTTGGCATTTTCTGCATTTAGCTGCTTTAGCTCTTTCTGAGACTAAAAGGGATATAAAACAAGACCGGGTTACTCTTTTAGCTTTATTTAACATGCAAAAATTAGAAAAACTGCACAAAGCACACCTTTTCTCTTTCTAAAGCTTGTTCTGCTTTCACATTTTCTAGCTTTGACTAAGCTCACGAACCTTATTCAATTCCTCATTCCCAGCATCTGAAGAAGCATATCCACATGAAGAAAAGGTTAAGGATGAGTTAATTAGTAGATGTCAGAAAATTCAAAATGAAATCCGTTGAAATGCATTGATGGTTAAACCTACTTCTGTCACTAGCAGTAGCAGCTTCAAGTCTTTCCAATCGAGCCTACATGACAAAGATGGAAATTTCAATAAGTAAAACCCCTATCGTCAACAAAAACGAGGAAAGATCTCCCAAACTGTCATTTGATTAACATATTACCCCTAAAAGCTTAGTGCACGCTACAATTATTAATAAAGCAAAGCGTAAAAAGTAGTATTCGAATACAAGAAAATAGTATTCTACAATTCTGTAACTTCATTTACATGCCAAACACAAAAGCATCCACTACACAAGGGTGTGTTTGATTCCTCAAGAGAGTTGAATTGTATACCATAGGATTTAAGTAAAATTTCTATAGACAAGTCCAATTCTAGTGCAACTCCAATTCTCACAAGGAACCAAACAAAAACATCAAACAGAAGAATCCGAAGCTCCCAATTTAGATTCCTGAACTAATTTAATATCTGATTCATGTATTTATAATTCGTAAACATGATTGATGCATCAGTAAAAGAAACGTCAAAATAAATTCATCAAACTAGTCTAAGAACTCCTGGTAAAGCCCTTCAATAATTGGATTAAAGCATGAGAATTGATACAAGAAAAATTAAAGCATAACATATCAATGACAAGTAATTAAAAAAAAAAAGAGAAAAGCACCAAGATTTAGACCCATAATGTGGGAGTTAACGAGCTAAAAAGAGATCAGAAACCTCAGCCTCAGAAGCTCGCTGGTGAAAGGATTTGCAGATTTCGGGCAGATTGTTTTCTGCCATTGGAGTAGATGAAGGCAGCTGCCGGCGTGCCAAGAGACAAAAGTGTAGCAAAAGTGGCTAACAGTGTTAACACGAAAATACAAATAAATTGAACAAGCTTGAGTCGTGTTCGAACACTGTCCTAAGAAACTATTTCAGGGGTATTGAAATATTTCCCAGGATTAAACAAGCCTTCCTCTTCACTTTTCAAGAGAGAATTTGAACCAGCTAATTTTTAGTCCAGCAATAAGAGAGAGAGAGAGAGAGAAGAGAGAGCAGAGAGTAGAAGTGAGAATTAGAATGTGTGTCGTGCATTTCGAATGAATTTGCCCAAGGCCTCTATTTATAGCCTTTGTAATGATTTTAAACGTTAGTAAATGATAGATATTATCTCTTTGTTTGTTTAGAAAAATTGGGACACGAGCTATTTCAAATCCTTTGGAAATAGTCAAACAAACTTCAAGGAACGTTACAAGCTTTAAACATCAGAGCCTCCGGAAAGAGTCAAACAAACCAATTCCAAACTTTAACTTTGTTTGATCGAAAGCTGTGGGATAACATAATGCTCCACGTTTCTATTTAAACCCATGTGCATGCCAACAACTTTTTCTTATCCAATAGAAACAACCTGATAGAGTTTGAAATTGTCAAAGCATGACCATGAGTGATAGGTTGCAATTTTACTATTTAATTTATTATTAATTTCCCCCGTTACCTGATCTGATATGGATTAATTATTAGATTCTACTTATTTTTCGTAATTTGCATTTATTTCAGGGAGTAGAACGAAAATATAATAACAGGTGCCAATTTGACAGAAAAGAAATCCAGAAAATAGAGCTTGTCCCAGGGGCATTTTTGAAAAAGAAGATGTCACGCCCATTTTGATAATTTCTGCAAAGGAATGACGGACGAAGGGCTTCTTCTCCCTGGTGAGCCGCCGCACAAAGGAGGGCCATTAGAGAGGAATTGGGGAGAGTAGCAGGGGATTTTTATCTCTTTTAGTTTAGTGTTCCTTTGTTTTTTTCTTGCTCACGAATGTCAGGGCTGCTTAGTAGATTAGCTTGACTTTTCTTTTTGATTCTTTAGTAGCTCTTTGCTCGGCATAAATGCCAGGGCCACTGGAAGCAATTGAATGATTCCTTGTAGCTTTTCTTTTAACTTTTCCGCTTGGTTCTTGAGTAGTTTTTCCTTCTTTGCATGTCAGACGAATTGAAACAATCAATTGCCTCTGTAGCTTGTTTTTCTTCATGAATGGAACGAATTGAGTTTTCTCAAATCTTGGACACGATGGCCGCAGCTTCCTCTTCAATTTTGCGTGGGCTCTATGCACCAAGAATGAACTAATTTCCTTTGTCTAGTCAAGGGACAACGGATGCTTTGGGTCATCTAAAATTGTGAGGTCGATTTAATTTTGTCCTTTTCTTTATTTATTGGTATTCACATATTCCTTTATCAGTACTTATAATTATTTAATTAATTGATTGTCGTAAATCCGAATAATTAGTTAATTTGATAATCTATTGTCAATTAGGGTATTAAATCCGTAATTGTTTAATTGCCTTGAAATAGTGACAACTGGCATGATTAGATTTGTGTCAGGGGGATATGCGGGCTAATCTGAAATAACCCTGGTAGTGCGTTATTTGATTAGAATAGGGTTTCTCTAATACGTAAGGCAATTGGAGAATTAAATCTTATGGGCGTACTTAGGATTATTTCTCAATTAGAGTAGTGATTAACAGGCGTACCTTAATTACCGGCACAGTAAGGAGGGGTTGACTGTTACGCTTGTTTGGCAGTTATAACCTATTTATTGGTAAATAATTGGAATTGACTTTGCATCGATGATCAATTAGGTGAACCATTGCTGAAATTATTCCTTGACTAGATCCTTAATTATTACTCATTTGATTTAGTAATTTGTTATTTAATTTGTAGTAGTTTATAGGTTTTATTTGAATTTCTTTAATTGTTACCCCTGATATAAAAACACTCCCCTTGTCACTGTGAATTTGAAAAGAAACAATTACTCCCAATCCCTGTGGATTCGACCCTGCTTACCACTATCTACAGAAATTAACTTTAGTTAAGCAGGTTTTTATTATTGCATAGGCCGACAACCTGTCAATTTTTGGCACCGTTGCCGGGGACTGGCGTTATTATTTGCTTCTTTTTAAATTCATTTTTTGCTCTAATTTTCTGGTATTTTTCTAGTGTATGCCTCGATATTCTCGTACAGGTGATTTGATTTTTGATCCTGAAGTAGAGAAGATCACGCGTAGAACAAGAAAGGAAACCAGACAGTCAGAGAGGAGCAATCCAGTATTGCATCTCAGAAACCTGAGCCAGGAGTTGAACCAACGGATTCGTTTGGTGACACTTCAAGTGACTCTGATCAAGAGGAAATTGCTATAGCTAATGCACGGACATTAAGGGAGTTGGCTGCTTCTGATTTAAATCAGCAGCCTTTATGCATTACTTTCCCCACTTTAAATGATAACACTCCATTTGAATTAAAATCTGGTCTAATTCATCTTCTACCATCTTTTTATGGTTTACCAGGTGAGGAGCCTTATAAGCATTTGCAAGAGTTTGATGTCGTGTGCAACAGTATGAAGTCCCGGGCATTACAGAAGAGCAAATAAAAATTAGGGCATTCCCCTTTTCTTGAAAGATTCTGCAAAGGACTGGCTGTACTACTTGCCACCAGGTAGCATCACCACATGGGACCAATTAAAGAAAAAATTTTTAGATAAATATTTTCCTGCGTCCAGGACTGCAAGTCTAAGGAAAGAAATTTGCGGGATCAAACAGCATCCAGGGAGTCGCTCTATGAGTACTGGGAGCGATTCAAGAAATTGTGCATCAAATGCCCCAGCACCAAATAAGTGAGTAGTTGCTCATACAGTATTTTTATGAGGGGCTACTCTTCAGAGAAAGGAGTATCATTGATGCTGCGAGTGGAGGGGCACTGGTGAACAAGATCCCTTGAGCAGCGTGGGAGTTAATTGAGGGAATGACAGAGAATTCACAACAATTTGGTACGAGAGAGAATGTTCCAATACGCAAGGTAAATGAGGTAAAGACATCTTCTATTCAGTAGCAGTTGATCGAGTTGACTTTCTTTTGTTAGGCAACTGGCTGTAGGAAACGCATCTCAGTCCAAGGTGTGCGGAATTTGCACTGGTATGGATCACTCTATAGAGATGTGCCCAATGATTCAAGAAAAAAGTGTGGAGCAAGTGAACATGGCTGGTCATGCGCCCGCGCCAAGAAATCAATATGACCCATATTCGAACACCTACAATCTTGGTTGGAGAGACCATCCCAACTTCAGTTATGGAGAAAATAGTAGTCCAATTTTATGCCAAGTAGACAACAAAAGTACCAGCAGCAGTATCAATTTCGACCACACCACCTCACCGACCCCAGTCCATCTTTGGAAGATATGATGAAACAATTGATGGCTAGTACTGCACAACACCAGCAAAAGACGGACTCCGAACTACGGAACATAAGAAGTCAGATGGGTTCAGATACAAGCGATGCAGAATCAAATAAGTCAGATGGCAATATCAATCAACCGTCTGGAGTCTCAAGTAAATGGAAGATTGCCATCCCAACCTGAACTGAACCTGAAGAACGTAAGTGCAATGACTTTAAGGAGCGGGAAGGAAATTCAGGGGCCCAAACTTTTGACTTCAAAGGATAAGGACGAAGAGAAGAATGAGAAAGAACTTCAGGCAGAGAATACAAGCACCAAAAATCCAGTGGTACTTCCTGACCCGATCATAGACGTTAAAACTAATCCCCCTCCATTTCCTTGCAGGTTGGAGAAATCGAAAAAGCAGGACAAGGAGAAAGAGATCCTGGAGGTACTTCGCAAGATAGAGATCAATATCCCCTGCTAGACGCCATCAAGCAAGTGCCGAAGTATGCAAAATTTCTGAGGGACATATGTGTCAATCGAAGGAGACTAAGGAGAGATGAAAAAGTCATTGTTGGGGAGAATGTGTCAGCAGTTCTCCAAAAAAACTACCACCAAAGTGTGGGGATCTAAGTAGGTTTATTGTCTCCATGTAGGATAGGTAACACTTTAATTAGGAATACCTTGTTGGATTTAGAGATCGATCAACGTAATGCCTAAATCTATGTATGCTTCTCTGAACCTCGATCCACTGATGGTTGGTCGAGGATGTGCCTGGTTTAAAATTAATGAATTAATATTCCCGGCTGACTTTTATGTAATTGACATGGATGGTGATCATTCCCCTGACCCCTCACCTTTGCTACTAGG